GATCTCAGCGACTGATAACGCCTCTTCCCACGTCTGTGGTCCTAAAATGGCTTGTACTTGTTGATTGTTGATGAGATCCATTGCTGTTTACTCAAATTGCATATAGAATTAATAGTCTTTTAAGAACAAATTAATTCTGCACTCTAATTCAGCAGAACAAGTAGCCAAGTTTAATTGTAATTCATCAGCACTAAATTAATTGTTGTTGAAAGTATTACATTTAGCAACAATTAGATACCTGATGCTAGCTGCATATTTAAATATGAGGCAAAACATGTCTACTCCATTGCAATGATGTAAACAAGTAAGCTCATAGTACTCATTAAGACAGGCCAGCGAATAAATACCTCCATAGAAATTCTCCATTGCAATTTCCATGGCAACTCTCTGCTCTTTACAAGCATGCAGCGTCCAAGCAAGGACACGGTGGTTGGCAGAACAGCTCCATAAACTCATTGAATATTCTTCAATATCCTTTGAAGTTTGGAATCTATACAAGTTGAACAGGTCCATAAACTCATTGAATATTCTTCAATATCCTTTGAAGTTTGGAATCTATACAAGTTGAACAGGTCCATAAACTCATTGAATATTCTTCAATATCCTTTGAAGTTTGGAATCCATACAAGTTCTTCCGAGGAAAAATCGCTTCTGTTGATAGCATTATTCATATAGAAAGTTCACGTGAAGTTAAGTGAGGAGGAATATTCTCGTATAATTATAAAAATAGAAATAAAACTAATGTAACTTTGTGTTTCTTTAATGTTTTGCGACAATTCTTTAACTCCCTACCAATAATATTATCGTAATAGCTTTTTAATTTTTTAATTTATTTAATTGTTACATGTTAGCAGCTTATATATACTATGCACTTTTACAGTAAAAAGAAATGTCTTGAAAAGAGATGCCAGTACAGTCCAAACCGGAACACTGTTCGGTAATTGGGTCATATCTGGAGATATAAATCTTCAATTTAGGTATACTTTATATGGATAGAAAGGTAAGACATAGGCCTACAACTTTCATATGGAGCTCAAGATCTAAAAAGGTCATTTTCAAGTCCAAATTGGAGCAACAACCAAGAAGTCTGAATTTGTCCTCGAACCCGAGCACTGTTCAATGTTTGGCCCATATCTGGAGTTCTAGAAGTCCAAATGACCTCCTTT